GCATGCTGTCTTGAAGTTTCTCACAGTTTTTCATGCTATCTCGAGGTTTCTCACGCCATTTCAAAGCTTCTCACAGTTTTTAGTCCAGGTGGGCATGTTTTGTTCACTGGGAGATGTTCTCACATGATGCAGAGGGTGGAAAGTATTAAATAGAAAGCACTCAGAGAAGAGTCAGAGTCTGCTGTGAGTCTTTCCGGCTGGGACATCCAGTTTTGTGTTGGTGTATGCTCTGCCTAGGCTGTCTGGCTCTCCAGCCTTGTGTCACAGTGAGAGTTTAATCCTACATCAATACTTGTGAGATTGTACATCTGAGTCTGATTGTACTATTGCTTTGCTTTTGCTGTATCTGTGCCAGAATAATAAAGGACACGATTATTCTAGCAGAACAGTGTTTGTATATTTCTTTTTGGTCATTGTACTGATTACTCTTCCGAATCCTAGTTTTATTTAAACAAGTATCACAAATCATTTTGGCGTCACGAACAGGATATTGGAAAGAGTGCTGTATAATGTTCAAAAGAAAAGCTAAAGAGAGTGAGAAAATTGAGACAGAAGAGGTTGTAATGATGGAGCAAGTCCCCATATCAGTTGATAGCGCTTTGTTTAAGAGGCAGCGGGGGACGCCCTGAGCCTTGGAATGATTCTTTACATGTTGATAGCCCTGGCGATGTTTTAGCTGCTTTGCGAGCGGTGGATGTGAACAAAAAGACGCCGGTGGCTGGGTTGCAGCGCCGATTGTGGGTCTGTACGACTGCGTGGAAAAGACTGCATGAAAAGAATCAAGAAGAATTAACACAAGTGCTGAATCAGAAACAGGCACTCGAGGAAGCGCGAGCTGAGAATTTGTTGCAGAAACAACATGTGCAGCTGCTGACCACACAACTGAATAGAATGACCTATGTCGTGGAGGGTGCGGTAACACAGGTCTCTGTGTGAGAAAAGTTCAGGAGAAAGAAACGAAGTATGTCACCTAAAAGAGTTCATGCTTTTGTTGCCCAGTTGGGAACCGGATGGGATCCGTCGAGTTGGGACGGTAACATCTGGGAAGATGAGGAGGATGAAAATGATTACATTTGGAGCGAGGAGAAGGATGAACTAAATGCTGGAGTGGCGGTGAGGTCTCCTATCATTCAGGCAATGAGTAAAAATGTAAAACCTGTAAAAAGACGTAGGAAAGAGCAGCAGATAATACCAGATGTGTTGCAAGCGAGGGTAGACGCCCAGGGACAGCAGATAGTGGGGCTTGATGGACAGCCAATAAAGGATTTGGTAGCATAGCAGCAGCCTCAGGCAGATTTAAAAATGATAGTTGAGGACTATACCCAGGAGGAGGTTGCTTACCTGTCTAAAAGGTTTAAGCAACAGACTGGAGAACCTACTGATACCTGGATGGCTAGATTGTTGGATGTGCCGTTCAGGTGGAAGTGGATGTGGGTGATGGCATGTCTTTCACTAGTTTGTCTACGGATGTAGGAATAAATTCTGCTTATAGACAGGAGGTCAGAGCTTTACAGCCAGATGATGCTAGGACCTTGTTTGACTTGTATTCAGAAGCAGTCAGGCAAACGTTCCCAGTAGTGTCAGATTGGCCCGAGTTGCAGAGACAGTAGGTGACCTTGAGAGAATGTGTGCAGCGGTTGGTTCGATTGTACATGAGAGATGCAATATCTCTGCAGTTAGCAGGAGAATATCAGGCATATCCAGTCCCAAAGGCAGTAAGGGACCAGTTAATCAGAACAGCGCCATCTCATTATCGATCTGCAATGCTTACTGTACTGTTGGGAGCTGCTGATGTTCCAATGGCTGATGTTCGAAGCCGAGTGTTGGAACTGGGTGTACTCGGAGATTGGAACACAGAGAGGGCTGAAAACCGTGAAAAAACATTTAGTCAACTCATGGGTCGTGGGCCGAGAAGGGACGGCCAAAATAATACACAGGGACCCACTCGCTCTGCTTTTTGGAGGGCGTTAATACAGGCAGGAGTGCCTCCAGCTGAGATGGATGGTTTGTCAACAGAAGAGCTGAGGGCTAGATGCCATTATTTGGATTGAAAGGGCCAAAAGTAGAAGGTCCAGATGTTGACATCAACCTTCTGAAAGCAGATATTGCCAACATTGAACATCAAAGGTCCAAATTTAGAGAGCCCAGATTTTGACATTAAACTAAAAGGCCCCAAACTTGAAGGTGATATTGATGTTAAAATGCCAAAGGTCAAAGGAGAAATTAAAACACCTGATGTTGACATTAAAGGCCCAGACATTGACATTGAGGGCCACAAAGGATGAATTAAAATACCTAAAGCCAAGATGATTGAAGGGAAAAAGGGTGGATTTGAAATGTCTAAAATAAAAATGTCATCAGAGCACTTAAAGGGGATGTGTTAAGCTGGCTGCTTTGAAGGAAGTGAATCATATGTTGTTTGTAAATGGTTCATCTGCAGCTGAAGTTTGACAGCATCTAAAACAACCCAAAGTGTCTAAAAACATCTGAGATGAAAAAAATTCACCATCTTGTTTTGCAGTTGTTTCATATTTAAAGCAAAAATTCAGTTATTTTCAAGACGGGTTCTGTGGAAAAAGTTATGAACAAGTAATATCTTACCTGCTACACATAGGTTTTAGAACAACCTCAGTTTGGAGAAACTGATGAGCTAATAGTCTGAGTGGGGCCAAGACCAGAAGAATGATTTCTTTTTTTAATAAATAAAAGTTAATTTTGAATAATAATAAAAAATAAAGAAACTTTATATTGCTGACACTTTTGCATGAAGTGGTTATTTATGAAGAATTGTCTGATTATTTGTAGAACATGTGGTGCAGCCTGGAGTAATTCCTGCTGGAACAATAACTGTTTAGAAAAAAACGGATGGAGATGAAAAGATTTATACTTGAGAGAAAACTGACTCTTTCTCTGTCTGTAAGCAGTTTTTCTTGTTTCTATAGCTTGATGTTTCCTTGGTCTTTGTTGACTGGACGATCGAGACCACCCAGGAGCCAACATGGGAGAAGGTGGTGGCAAGCGCCTACCAACTGGCAGTGCAAGCTGTTGGGGCATCAGGTTCCTTGTCGTAAGTGCCATGGTGTTCCTGGTCAACCTCTCCTCAGACAAAGTAACTTCACATGTTTGAAACACAAAAGCTGCCTGATAGGGAACATCACAACTGACTGTCCTATGTACAAGTGTTGGGCATGCTACAACAGGAAAACCATCCCAGCGATACCTAAGGGATGTCAGATTAGAATTTATGTGGAAACCCCACTGTGTAACATGTATAAGAACGGTACATGTAAACCAGATGGAAAAAATGAACAAAGTTTGACTTTACTGCCAATAACACAGAAGAGGGAAACATGTCTCGCTGGCAGTTCATCAAGTTGGGGTCTGGATGCCCTCAGTAGTCATGACTCAAGAAGAAGCGGTCAAAATACTGTTAAAAGAAATAAACTGGCAGTTGAAGATGTGGGGTAACACTGAAGAAGTACTCCAAAACATAACCCAGGTGCTAAACTGGACCACGTGTACCCTGCAAACCATGCATGCACAGTTGCAGAAAGAACGCTTCCAGAGAATAGTGACCATCTTAAATCATCATGAGTGGAGGAAGTTGTGGAACATTTCAAGTACACATTGGGTGGTCCTAAAACCTGAATTGACAGAATGTACTGAATATATGTGTGAAAGTTATTGGGTTCAGTATCTTGTAAGTGAAATAACTACAGTATGCAAGTATCATGTTTTACCTGTAATAACTGTACAAGGATATTAGTTTTAAAAAATTCAGGGTGAATGGTTTGAGCCACAGACAAATCTCACCTATGACGTGCAACTATGCGGGATGGCTGATAAAGGAGTGGTATGTATGCTGCAAACAGGTCATGTTAACCCATGTTTAACCAAAGACGAGGTATTGTGTGATTGGACTCATGAACCAGCTAGAGATATGCTATGGCAAATAGGCCCACACACTTTGTGCATAGCAACAATTAGTAGTCATCCTCAATTACCTAAGGTACCTTTTTCTGGATGTGTATATGGTGTACACTTGTGGAGTTGGAACAACTTGACTTATCAATTAACCAATTACAGTTCATCTACTCGCCTAACTGAGGTACAGTGGCAATCGTTGTATGTCCCCTGGCGAGTCTCCCTAGACCATTTCAAATGCGCATTGAATGGGTCTACGGAGCTGAAACGAATGATTGAGTCGCATAAGTCAAACGTGTCTGATCTAACAGTGTCCACCTATATTGCTCAAGGAAAGGTTTTACATGCGGCTAAGCTAATAGAACAAGCGTCGGCTAACCATTGCTGGGACATATTCACAGGAATGTCATCAATGGCGCGACAATATGCAGACCCTCCTTTGCTTATTTTGTTAATTTGTTTTGGTGTATTAACTATATGTAATCTGTGCACTTGTTTTTATATTAGAAGGATTAAGAATAGAATCAATCAAAAACATTATAACACAGCCCTGTAATGAAAATAGTATTAATAATAGAGGACCATTGGTTTGGGACAGAAAAAGCCACCATGACAATCGACACCAAAGTCCCAGAGGATATCATGATATTGAATTATCATGTTAGTGGTAATGTAATTAATCATACTTTTCAGGATTTTAATTCCCGTTTGGAATTTTTAAATTTTATGTGTGAATCTGTCCAAGAATGGGTTGGCAGGCGATACGTTGAAGATTTTGATTTTGAAGGGAATAATTTTCCAAATTAGTCAGAAAACCAAAGGGTGGAATGAATAAAGAATTTAATAAAATGTTGTTTTGCTTTAACCTGTGATATAAAGTGTTTTTGGTACATGTTATTGTGAGTCACCCGAGAGGCCTGAGGAGGAGGCTTGCCCCCCACCCCCGCACGCTATCTCGAAGTTTCTCACAGTTTTTCACGTTATCTCGAGATTTCACGCTATCTCGAGGTTTCTCACGCTAATTTGAAGCTTCTCGCAGTTTTTAGTCCAGGTGGGCATGTTTTGTTCACTGGGAGATATTCTTACGTGATGCAGAGGGTGGAAAGTATTAAATAGAAAGCACTCAGAGAAGAGTTAGAGTCTGCTGTGAGTCTTTCCGGCCGGGACGTCCAGTTTTGTGTTGGTGTATGCTCTGCCTAGGCTGTCTGGCTCTCCAGCCTTGTGTCACGGACAGAGTTTAATCCTACATCAATACTTGTGAGGATGTACATCTAAATGTGATTGTACTATTGCTTTGCTTTTACTGTATCTGTGGCGGAATAATAAAGGACACGATTATTCTAGTAGAACAGTGTTTGTGTATTTCTTTTTGATCATTGTGCTGATTACTCTTCCGAA